GATTTTTTTGTCTGGGAGTCCCCTTTCTATCCTCCTCTTATGCTTCCAGCCATAAGTTAGCTCCCCTAAGTTGTCCATTCTGAAAGGCACCAGTGGACCTGACCTCTAAAACTCAACTGGAGCATTCAGGCTTTCTTGGCCCATCTCTGAGGAGCGGGTAGAGTGATAGAGGAGAATGTGTGGGATTTCATTCTGGAGGTGGAGATGGTTAATAATGAGAGAGTTACACCAATATATATTTAGTGAAGAGGTGCCCATGGAATAAGCAATTGGTAGTTTTCCAGCAAGCCCTGATAGGATTCATAATAGTCAAGTATCATTCTTATTCTGATTAAGTCACATTCAATCTCTTGCTTGATGCTGTGCTTGCTCTATGACCCACCAGCATTACCCACTCCTAATTCAATCCAGCTTGTGTTTATGGAGCCCTTACCCATAACCAGCCATGCTTGCTTACACAGAATGCCATCTGCTATTATTTTGGCATTTAAGATGCTTCTTCAGTCATCTGAGGTAGATCTTTTAATTAGAACCATTAACATTAGTTTATCCCAAGAAAAAACTAAGCAAAACTTTAAAAACCAAAAAGTCCATCAGATGAGAAATGCTTATGATTTAGGTGTGTTGGCCATCTTCACAAACTAGTTGGCCAGGCCCACTAGAAATCAGTCATTACAGTTGCCAGTCATCTCAATATGTTCAATCCAGGGCCGCAGATGGGAGCAGCATTAGCTGCCTTCATAGAGTAACCTTCCTAAATACTCTCCATTGTCGCTGATCATCTAGATTTCTGTGATCCTCCAGATCCTTGGGCTGGTGAGGAAGTCCTGATCTGGACATGGCTTATAATATCTAAAATGGACATTTGAATCACTTTGCAGTCCCTGGCTTGCCAAATTATGTGGTTTAAGTTAAAAAACTTGGGTTAGAGTTTGCTGTCACTCAGCTTTGATATCCTGAGCCTTCTGGCACGGTTGACCAAATGCAGCCAGAATCTAGTGATAACTGTATCACTCTGATACTTTAAGTGAGGTTCATCTCTGTTCACCCTAGTCCCCACACTAAGCCTCTCTCTTGGCCCAGTGAGGACCCCTCAGACACCTCTCCACTCCGTGTTCAGGAGAATCTCTTGTTGGCCCAGCCCTGCCCTCAGGGAGCAGAAGCTGATACACTCAAACCAAATAATGTGCCCTTTCCACATTATCACTTTCTTCTTAGTGAGAATTAGAGTCAGAGACCTGGGTCATATCCCTGGGCGAGTCACTTTTACTTGCTGTGAGATCTCAGGCACGTCAGTTAAGGAAATTGAGGTTCAGCGAGGTTATCTGAAAAGGTGCAGGTCATAGGAACACAGGATTGTTTGAGGATTAAGTGAGATTATATGGGCCACAGGGCACTTTATATCTGTTACATACTGATTTACGGATATCACATGAATCCTACCATTTAATAATGCTTACAATGGGCCAGACCCTTTACTAGGCCCTTCGCATGTATTATCTATTTAAATAAATCCTCAAGATAACCTCATGAATCAGGTCCTAGCTCCAGCCCCTCAGAGACTGACTTTATAGTTGTAAAATGCAGAATTGGTACCTTGCCCAAGACTACTTAGTTATTTGGTGTCTGAACTGAGCTAACACAGGGCTCTCAAAGTAGGAATCTCACATGGTAGATTTGTAGGTGTCACAGAACCCGACAGAGATAATTTTGCATGAGGATCTTTTCGTCATTCTTCAAATCATGTACTGTGAACAACCATCACTCTGCTTCCAAGGACAGCACACCCTGCTCTCAATCTTAGAACATTTTCGGTTATCAAAGATACAGGAAATTCTGCCTCTCTTCTCCCCACAATATCATCCTTCCCAAAACTACTGCCCCTGGAACTTTCAAGTCCTGAAAACATTTCTGGAAAATAAATTTTCCCCTTTCACCATCCATCCCTCGCACTCCTGCAGGGCCTTCCGGTGCTCCCTCAGACATGGGCTGGTGGGAGCAAGCCTTCTAGTGCCGATGCTGAGTTAGAGAGGCGGCTTCTCCCCATCCGTCAATTCTAACTGCATTCAAACATTTTCAATATGTGGGATCCTTGATAACTTTCACTGAATGGAAAGCAAAATGAAGGGAAATGATTATTGGCACAAAAGGGGGAAGCCGTAAATCTTCGAATCAGATATAGGACAGATTGGAACAATATGGGTTCTCCAAGGTTGCCATGATAATGTACCTAATAACTCTCCTTGGGCAAAAAGGCAATCTGCTTTCAATCAATCTTGCTTTTTCTGAGCAAAATTACCAATTATGTTGAAGGAAGATTTTTTTTTTTGCCTCCCTTTTTGATAAAGACTACTCTCCATCCTAGAAATCATGCTATAGCTAAAAGATATATATTTTCAATTGTCTAGAATGGTATTGGACAGCTAGCACCAAATGAGAAAAGTCAATTCTTTTTTTCTCCTCTCTCCTGCCAGCATTTGTCTACTTCTTAAGAGAAGTGAAAGCTAATTAAAGGCTTAAGGGATAATATCGATTGCATTGGAATATATTTTATATGTACCCAGCACATTTTCAACTAAGAGAACCCTGACTCTTTCTAAGGCTGAATAAATCAGCTAGCTGAGCCTTTGATTCAAGGGTGAGAGGGTGAACTCATCTCCTTCCCTTCCACTTCTCACACATCTGTCCTAGAGATGAATGATTTTAGAAGAGGAAGAGGGAATGCTGGCAGATGTTCATTCAGTTCTTTGCGTACAGGATAGAAAGGATGAATGCTCAGGCATTTCCTTGGCTCTCTCATTGATTTGAGTCCAGCTTTGAATAATAACCAGGCTTACGCTGGTATAGAACTTTGAGCTTTGCAATGTCTGGTGCAGGGGGCTGGCCGAGGGTATTACCTCTTAGTTCCCTCATCTATTGACTGGGGATAACAAGATTGCCCAGGATCATACACATCCTTGGTGGCAGAGCAGGGAATCAAATCTGGCTTACTTGCACATGCAGGTGAAACCACACATCGGTCCTGTGGAGGTGCCTATAAGTTGGATCTATGCTAGCCTCGTTCTTAATCAGGGAAATTTATGGATGGAAAGTGTTAGAATTGCCCCAAGCAGCCTCACTGTCATTTGTGGAGAGGTCAGACAAGGACTTTCGGTCACTTTCTGAACACAGCTGGCAAATTCAGCATCACAAATCTTACTCAGAACGTTCAAATTCATCGGCAGCCTGTTTTGTCCATAGAAATACACATGCGCCACCAGAAACATTTTAAGGTATGACATGATAAAAAGGTATGTAATCTAAGTGTTTAATTACTTCGCATATTCTGACATACTATGTTTTTCAGGAAGGAATTAGTCACACGGGTTTTGGATGGGTGGCTAAGGGACCTCCCTCAACCCAGCAGGCGCTGGCTAGAGAGCAAAGTGATCATGTTCAAATGTCTCTTCTGAGGTAGCCCATTGACATTCTTCCCTCCCTGTGAAGGCCTTTGCTTGCCCGATCGCTAAGTGTAGCACCGTAACGATAACAGTCCATAATGGTGATATTATTAACTGCATCGTGCATATTATTGATTTACTCTTTGTTCTGCATCATTATCCTTTCACCAATGAGTTTACTGCATTATTCTCACATACTTAGTCAAGCACCAAATTACAACGAAAGGGCAAGCTCTTGTAATGGCATCTAATGGAACATTGCATAAGTGATCATCACTGCTTCCTATTATGAGCTGCCTCCAGCCAATGAGCTTTTTGCCTTATTAGAATGTGCACAGAGCAATTATGAAGTGTAAGGGACCTGGCCATTTTAAAATTTTCCCACAAAATTACCGTGCTTCATGTTTGCCACCTGCCCATGCCTCAAAGCCCAGCCAGGGATTCAGCCTCTGTCACTATCAGCCTGAGGGGTACAGGGACCTGGACTGAGCCCCTTGCTGCAGTCTCTTTACTAGAAGCTAGCGGGTTTCCTCCTCACAGTCACTCCCTGACTTTTGGTCCTGGGGCTGACTCTTGCACCAAAGTGCTTACTCGTGATTGAGCATCATGTAGACAGTATAAGTGGCCACAGCATAGCCCGATGTCAAAGTCAGATTGGCCCAGGAGCCCAGAGATATTGGGGGGACTGTTGTTCCAGCAGTTCAGGAAGAGGGGCTCCTCTCCTTATGGGGAGCCCCCATCTCCGGAAACAGAAGTCCAAACCACCTTGGAACAAGGCAAACAATGCCAGCCTCATCCCTTCTTAGCTTCTCCTCATCTTGAGGTCAATTCCTTTGGCTGTCAGAGAAATCTTTGGTACCCCAAAGAGGCAGCTGTCTGGGGATGTGCAGATCTGCAGCATGATCTCCAATTCCATAGGCGTCCCATCCCCATTTAGCTTTGAGTAATGCTCACTTACTGTAAAGTGTTGCATGCCCCCATTGTCGGAGGAGTTATGGCGGAAAAATGCAAAATTTCCTTTTTACTGCTTATGGCCAGCAGAGCCCATAACGTGTCAAGCCGCACATTAGCCACCCTGATAAAAGTTCGCTTTCTTACACACAAAATCATCGTTTCAGCAAGATTTGTTATCTCATTACCTGATAAGCTCTATGTCATAAACCAAGACTCATTCGGTAAATCTCCCGGGAGGACGCTTTGTGGGCAGAAAGAGAGAGATATGAATCTGCAGGGGACTTGATAATGCAGCATTTAAGCACAAGCATAATGTCACTTATTGTTAAATGCATAAAACCACTTGGCCAAACGGTTGGGCTTTTAATAGGATTTTGTGCAGCATCAGGTGAGAAGCCATATGCCTTTTCTGTCGAGGAGTTGCTGAGCACCTGCCAGGGCCGCTGCTTTGCCTCACAGCCCTCTGGGGATGGGTGCTAGGCTTTTACTGAGGCCTTGGGAGTCAATAAATGCTTTCCTGCAGCTGCGCGCTTTCTCCGTCTTGCTGGGGGTGGGTGCCTGGGTCATTGCTGGGCCGGCCTCAGCTAACTGGCCTCTCCCGTTCAGGCACATTGTGGTCTGTGGACATATCACTCTGGAGAGTGTTTCCAACTTCCTGAAGGACTTTCTGCACAAGGACCGGGATGATGTCAACGTGGAGATCGTCTTTCTTCACAAGTAAGAGGCCCTGTTTGTTTGAAGACCCTCCATCCAACCAGACACTGACAGGGACACCTGAGTGCAGGAGTGGTGGTGTGGGGACAGCACAGAGTCAGCTCAACCAGGACTCCTGCTGGCCTCACTGGAGGGGACAGTATAGACCAATGGAACGGGAAGCACCACGCTAGTACAGTGATGAGAGCAGCGTCTGCCTCTTTGGAGGCAATTCTGGAAAATAACAGTGGAGTTTATTATACGTCAGGCATGTCATCACTGTTTCCTCAGCTGTCTGGATCTATGTGATCCAGGTGTGTCCACAGTGTCCAGTGTGGAATGATTAGCTGTATGGGGGGGTACTCTATGAGTGCAGGGGTGACATAGTGGTCAAGCAACACACAAACGTAACAGGAAGCAGGGTATAAAATAATAATAACAACTGTGGTTCCTAGAAACCGTCAGTGAGGGACATTGTGCTGGTCACTGTGCATATAGTCCCTCTTTTAATCAATAGAGGGAGTAAAAGTACGTGTCCTGGACTCAGTGTCTGGATCTGAATCTTGATTCAACCAGTTATTTGCTGAACAAGTTACTTAATCTTTCTGGTCTCAGTTACTACATCTATAAGAGATCATCCTGGGCTGTTGTGAGAATGAAAAGAAGTAATCCCTGTAAAGTAGAGTATGTAGAGTAGAATCAGGCATGCAGTAAGTGCTCAATAAATGTTAGCTATTATCATGAAAGATAAAACTGATTAGGTCACATTATCAATTCAGGAGGTAGATCTTATCATGTTTATTTTATAGGTATGGAAAGCAAGAGCTCTCCCCTCTGCTTGATGATGTTGAGATTTTAAGCTTTGCTTCATTTACTTTTAGGTAAAGGGTAGTCTGCCACAGGGATGAAGAGTTGGGGGACTCAGGCATATTCATTTGGGTTGCCCCGTCTTCTTCCTTTATGGATATGGGGCCATCATGGGGCCAGCTCTAGCCCCATGCTGCCAGAGAGACAAAGCTTACATTGGTGTTGGCTCGATATGAGATTGACCACCCAGGACTCATTCTTGCTCTGGGAGCTTATAGGTGACTTCTCTATAAGCTCCCATCTGTGCGTCTCTCCTTTGGGCATTGTTCATAGAATAGCAAACTGGCCGCCATGTTTGAGTACCAGCATTTTTCTTCTTAGCAAGTCCTGAAAAGATCAGCCAGACCATGGGCCCAGGAGCAGAACCCATAGATCCATTCAGTGCTCAGCCACCGATTATCAGCAGTGGGGCCTGTCTTATGTTGAGCCTTTTGGCAGGTTCAAGAAAAGTATAGTATGTAGGTTCCGCCCTCATATAGGTTGGACATTTCAAGGTGAGCACATGTGCAACAATTAAAGCACAACGTCGACCTTGTATTAATTGACCGAAGTCAGTTTAATCAAGTGGCAGAATCACATGTGGCATCTGTATCAGGGTGAGACCACCGCTTCTTGTATTGCTAAGGCAAGCTTCATGAAAGAAGCATGATTTGCAATGGATCTGGAAGACTGGTCAGATTTGCACAGGTAGCTCTTCCATCACCCATAGCTTCAGTCTGAATGAACAGGTTGGCTACTAAAATTTTCATTACTGGGATTAACCTGTGTCAGCATCGTAGTAGATGGCCCACTTAATTAACCTCTCAAAGCTTTGTGTTAATACCGTACCCTCCTCTAGGGTTATTTTGAGGTTTAAATCAATTAATACTTGTCAAGTGTTTAGAATGGTGTCTGCCACATAATAAATGCTGAAAACATTAACAATTATTATTATTCTAGGTACTTAATAAATGTCAGTCAAGTATTGATTAACACAGTCCTTGGCACCTAGTAGGTTCTAACTAAATATCATCTCCCAGTGCCTAGTATCATACAGAGAGTAGATATTTTTCGTCTCGGGATTAATAAATGAATGAGTAGGTCATCAATATTTTAATCTTTGTCCTCCAGTGGGGAAGATGTCTTTACGGCTCAGCAGTAAGAATGATGAGTAGTATACACACGTGTGAATCAAAAACAATACTGAGGGTAAATAACTCCTTGTGGCTGCTCAGAGGTGAAATTTTTTTGATCCAGGCACCAGAGGATGAGAAGTCCATGCAGTGAAGAAGTAGAGAAAAGGCTTTTGATGGCGGGAACAGCAGGAGGCTCTGCCAGGGGGACCTTTGGCTAATCCCTGAAGTCACAGCCTGAGTTTCTCTATTCATAAAATAGGGATTCCATTCATGATGAAGTCAAAGACATTTCACCCCACAGGCCTCAGACTTTGTAAAGGTTGTGAGCCTCTTTATTTTACCTTGGTATTGTTTTTGGTTTTCAGTTAGGCTGGAGTTTTACTTCTCTGGGGTGCAAGCCTTTTATTTATGGCAAGAAATGAGCTGCTTTCAAAGCGAAATCCTCTTCCCAGGTCTCCCTCTTTGGAAATCCAAGAGAAGGGAGGCCATGGAGGCTGAAACACCTGGGTCTGTCTAATTAATGGCTGTTTCTTCTCTCCCTGCACAGCATTTCCCCTAACCTGGAGCTTGAAGCTCTGTTCAAGCGACATTTTACTCAGGTGGAATTTTATCAGGGTTCAGTCCTCAATCCACATGATCTTGCAAGAGTCAAGGTAAGAAGAGAGAAGTGACTTCTGCTTTCATTCCATGTAAGAGGGGGGTGCCTGACTGTGGTGATGGGACATGTCTCCCAGGATAGTTAAAGGTCACCTCCAAGCCCCTAATGAGATTAAGTCGGATACCACCAACCTTGACATCACTGCTCCCAGGACGTTGTTCTGCTGGCACCTGGTAGACTGTTACCTGTAAGCATTCTACTTGGACTAGTGATAACATGAAACTCATTTTGCTAGTTCCCTCAATATCAGCACTGCTAAGAGAAGCAGACAAGTTGTATGAACTCGATAGTCTCGTATACAACATAATAATCTAAGTTATTCTCACCTTGAATACTTAAATTAGACTCAGTGTAGATCTGAAATCTAACATTTACATCAGAAAGGAACATGAAGGATAACTTATAAAATTTCACCAAGCCATAAAATATTTTGAGCTTTCTTTATTCCCCCACCAAAGACTAAAGGTATAAAACTAAACATGTAGATACGTGTATGAGTTAGTCTTTCTTTCCAGAACCTGAGGTTTATAAGGGAAAAGGATCCAGCAAAATGGCATTTGCTACTTTGTTCATTTTATATCGATTTTGTAAGCATGCTCAATATTTACTCGCCAGTGAGTATAGATTAAAATTCTGAATCCACTGACATCTAACGCTAACTGTGGTCATCACATAATGCAGTAAATAATGTAACTGGCAAACATGAATAAGCCAAAATAATTTGAGTCACTTCTTTGGCTTATTAAAGAAAACCAGAGACAATTTTTGACACACCGTGTAGGAAACGGTACCCTCCCACCAAATGCAGGAATGGTCAGTAAGGTACAACATACCAAGTAGGACAGATTGCAGGCCGGAGCCAGCATGAGAATTCTTATGCTTATAGGGTCCGGTTAATCTTAATATTACCCAGACATGATCCAAGTTATGGCTAATGTGAAATCTTATAAGAACTTGGAGAAAATAGTTATTGTTCACGGACCTAATTTAGATGTAAGCTGTTATTAGTACAACTCATGATCCCCTCAAGGGAATAAATCTTTTTTGGCTCATGTTTAGATAAGTCAATAGGTTGTATTTTGAGATCATCTGTAATACATCATTTCATACACATAGATTTATTGTCTTTTGAATATCTGAATACTAATTGAATATTAAATAGTAACTGAGCTGTTATATGATTCAGGTCTCTCATTTCCTCTTATTCCCCAGTTAAAATGTGAAAAAGGTTAGATGAAAGACTTTGGAGGCTAAATTACTGAATCCCCAACAATTCATGTAACGTGGTAACCTGAGAGAAGGGGTTTAGCCCACCTAACTCCATTTCTTGCCTGAGAAAATTGGGATGATGGTGCAGATGGTGGGGAAAGGAGGTGGGAGGGTACTGAAAGGCTTAATTAATTGTTATTTGAAGAAATCTGGAAAGCTCACAAGTAAGAGACTATGGGAAATGAATAGTGTAATTACCAAGGTACATGGTTTACCCTCCAACAGCAACAAGATGAATTGTTTATTCCATAACACGAACTTGCAACCTATACTTTTGACAAAAACTACAATCTCTCAGGATTCTTATTTTTTTATTTACTTGCAAAGAACCAGATTCCCCAAGAGCTGTCAATAGGCAGAGACTTCCATCAAGCATGGCTATTTATATGTTTGTGTTCTGTGATTTTCCTTTTGGTGTCTTAGATAGAGTCAGCAGATGCATGCCTCATCCTTGCCAATAAGTACTGCGCTGACCCTGATGCTGAAGATGCCTCCAACATCATGAGGTAACCTTGGGGAGGCTGGCTGGGGAAGGTTCTGGCCTTGGCACTCTGTGGCTCACTTGCTACCCTTTGGGTCCTCTGTAGAGTCTATATCTCCCATAAGCCACCCTACAACTTGCCACCTGCATAGGTCCGGGGGAGCTGAGGCTGTGGTGAATGTGGAGGGCAATGACATAAGGCATTGTCAACAGGAAGCTCACCCTTAGAAGATAGGAGCTCTTGGGTCTTGAGTCTGAGATCCTTAAGACAGGACTAAAAGAGGAAAGACAAATTTAAATGGGCACAATCTTAAAATAAGGTACCATATTTCCTAATGGGGAGTGGACCTGAGATATCTTAACTGGGGGTGATTTTGTCTCTCGGGGACATTTTGAATATCCAGAGATGTTCTTGGTTGTCATAACTAAGGGATAGTGCTGCTCACATCTGGTGGGTAGAGGCCAGGGATGCTGCTCAACATCCGACGAAGCACAGGACAGCTCCCCACAGCAGAGGATTATCTGGCCCAAAATGTCAGTAGTGCCCAGGTTGAGAAGCCCCGTGTTAGAGCTTTCCAAATGTGTCTATAGCACATTGATTAATATCACCCATAAAGAGGAGTTTGTTCACCAGTTAGCTTGTTTCAACCAGTTTCCCAAAATGAAATAGTTTTCTTACCGAAATTGTTTTCAATACTTTTAATACTAATATGAATTTCTAAGATAGTGATCCATAGAGAATTTGTCAAACCGATTTGACCACACCTCCCCTTTTCTGTTTTTGGAGAACATCTCCTGGGAGGATGCTCTTCAGAGAACACTGCCCAGTGTCTTTTCTGCAAATAGGCTGGGCCTGTCTAAGACCATTCTCAGCCCAATTCCTATTCCTTATTCTTTCAGAAGAAAACTTCTGTTTTTGTTTTTTTCATAGACCCATATTCCAGACATCTATCTTGTGACTGTGAAATGGCTAAAGAGTTAACATATTTTGCTCCAGATAGTTAAAGGCCTTTTAGATTTCTCTCTCCTGAAGCATAAATTGCAGAATAGTTAAGAGAGCTATGAGGGAATAATAAAGAGAACCTTCTGGAGAAGAGATGAACTAAGAGAAAACATTTCACTCCCACTATATTCCCAGGAACTTGCCTAATTGTGAACAGCCATCCTTTGGGTCTAGACAAAAGTTCCCCTCTTCCTGCAGCTTGGTTTACTGTGTCCCGGGAATTTACTGAGGTGGAAGGTGGGGAAGTTGCCTTTGCATCATCACAGTGCTTGCATCTCCTTTCTTTGCTTTTAATCAGTGGCCCCAAGTGACATGAGCTTTCCCATCAATGAGGTGGGGGAAGAATTCCTCTGTGCGTTTCGGATGAGCAAGTCTTCCCCTCAGCATCTGGTCCTTGTATCTGGCAAGTGACATCTGGTGCAATGTTCTCTTTCCAAAAGCTTTTCTTTGACAATATGCGTAGTGAAGTTGTTTTAAGGAAGTTGATGCATGAACTCTTATAAGCATTGGGCTTGCCAGGCTGCAGGGTCATAGTGGAAGTGACATGCTTCCACACCTGGGTCCATCCCCTAACTAGTCACAGCTGAAAATGACTACAACAGCCTCAGCTTCAGGTGGACCAGTCGGCCTTTTCCTTGAACTAGGATTTCTGTCCTTCATCATGGTTTGGTGTCATTTGAAGTGATTAAAATGTAGACTTTAAGGAACTGGGCTTCATTAGCTTTAAAATTTCAAACAATCAACAACAACAACAAAACAGAAGATGAAGCTTAATGTGTGGACCCAGTGAGAAGTTTGAGGCTGGCACTGTCTTTTTTTTTCCCCCAAAAGTGAATAATTGAAATGATAATAGGTTCGAAATAGGCATTTCTTTTAATCACAATATTTTATTTAAGCCTTGACTACGATAGAGTTAATATGAACACATATAGGTTACCAGGGTAATTGGCATGATGCCAAGGCATAAAAATGACTGAACAAAGGTAGTATCAGAAATGTAATTAAGCCATCCATTAACTGGAATTAGAACGAAAGCTCAGGCAGCAAAAGGAAATGGGAGGCTCAGGGTTAAAAATGGGCTCTGTCTTTTCCTTATTTGTATAATCCTCCTTCCTCCTTAGTTTAATGAGACCAATCTGCCCTGTTTGAAATTAAAATGTCAAAGATCCATTTGAAATGAGCTAATGCAGAAAACTGGCTGATGCTGTGAACTGAATTCAGAGGGCTGACAGAGAGACTCAGAGTCCTTGAGTTATAAGCACGGGCCAACACAACGCTTTTTCAAAAATAAAATGAAATCTTTCAAGTGCAAAAGCCCAGGGTGAATTTGTTCAGGAGAGGCTTATGTATGATCCATTTCCTAAATTCACAAGTTGTAGCTTTTCAGACAGAGCTGCTCCCTGGCTGCCTTCTCTCCGTCTTTGTACAAAAAGGAATGAAGCATAGAATTTCTTGGTGGGACGTTTGTAGGGTTAGTCATAATAAATGCACTTGCATTTCTGATTAGGCTTAGAAGGTGGGCCTTTCTGTGGAATTCAATTCTTTAGTCTTCCTTGTCACAGAAGGAAATGTACAATGTCACCTCTAACAGAGTCGGTAATGACAAAAACCATAACTTAGACGTGGAAAGAGCTTTTAATGATTTCAAAGCATTTTCACATCTGGTCTTTCATTTGCTGCTCATACCAAGCCTGTGAAATAAATAAAGCAGGTACTGTTGCCGCCAGTGTCCAGATGAGGAAACAGTCACAGAGAGACCAGGGATTTCCTGAAGGTCACCCATTCGTTAGTGCAATAGCTGAGGCTGGAGTCCAGGTGTTTCTATTCCTCCGCTCTCTACCCCTCCCCTTTTAGCGCAGCAGTCGTCACAGGGAGCAGAAGTGAGGGTTGGAGGCCAAGCAGTGTGGTTAATACTGAGTATGGACTGAGTGTAGTTTAGGGAGAATTTTCCTGACCTCTGAAAGGCCTTGCCCCTTTTCTACAACCACAGTCAAAGTTGTCATTTAGATGCTGTTAGCAAGGCGTTGATTCCATCCTAAGAGCCCTGCTTAGAAATTATTTCTGCGAGTGGTCATATGTGTGAAAATTAGAATCATTTGTCAGGCTGCTTGTTTGATTTGTCATTGTTGCCTGAAGTTGTTAACTTGGAGAAGCGGACTCAGAGCAAATTGTTTCTAGGCTCATCCCCAGGGTATATGAGATTGCACACCTCACTTGGCCCCATGAATGAGCTTGCTTCCTTTGTAAAGATGCCCGTGTAGGCAAAAAGCCCTGACCCCTGCTTTAGAGTCCAGTACACACATGTCACATACCATCACCAGGACATTCTTCTTTTATGCCCAGGACACAGTCTGTGGCTGTTTTGTGGTTTCTTTTTCACACTACCATGGGGTACGGGGGTGGAAACACAGTTTAACTTGGCTCAGTGCCTGCAACCCCTCAGGATGGCCCTGGCTGCTGGCCCCACATCCACTCCTTTTGGATATAATCAAATTAATCTTCCCATCAGACTCCAAGGGTAAGGCAAACCCTGCCTCAGCTTTGGTTCTTTCTTTTTCAGAGTAATCTCCATAAAGAACTACCATCCGAAGATAAGAATCATCACTCAGATGCTGCAGTATCACAACAAGGTAGGTCAGCGAAAGCCTGTCCCAGGCTCAAAGATGCACATGTGAGTCCAGTCTCTTCTCCCTCACCATACAGCCATACACATGCATGTCCAGGCCTACATATACATGTGCATACACAACAATGCAATCCCAAGGCCTGGATAAAGAGGGTGGTGGGTAAAAACATCCTTGGGACATTTTTTTAGTCCACACACCTTGTTTGCAATTGGTCACTAGAAGGAAGCTCCTTCACATACTGATTTATTCATTCAGGGACCATCTAGAGCAGGAGTCCCCAACCCCTGGGCTACAGACCGGTACTAGGTCCATGGTCCATTAGGAAACAGGCCACACAGTGGGAGGTGAGCAGCAGGCAAGTGAGCAAAGCTTCATCTGTATTTTTAGCCGCTCCCCAGTGCTAGCACCACTGGTCTCAGCTTCACCTCAGATCATCAGGCATTAGATTCTCATAGGAGCACTGGTTCCTGGTGCCAAAAGGGTTGGGGATCACTGATCTATAGGTCCCCTAAGTTTAGAAATATTGTTGCACTCTTAGATCCTATTCCATGAACTTCTATTTTCATGTGCTGCACTCACTTCTTTAGTTGGTATTTACTGCATACCTACTATGTGGTCAGCACTCTGTCTGATACCCCCTCATCCCCCAGGGATATAGTGAAGGAGAATTCCTATTTTGTGCCCTCAAGGATTTAAGTGTAGGGCATCTCCCAGGCAAGTGATAGGATGTTTCTGAGAACAGGTGAAGTTGGAGGAATGGAACACGCATTGGGTGGAGAATGCAGAACATGGCATTCTCAAATTCAAGATGAAAATTACATGGTTGAATTCAGGAAAATAGTTGGCTTCCTAGAGATTAAACATAAAGGAATTTTCCTAGCAGTATAGTTTATAAGAAGGATTGGAAAAAATACAAACATTGGAGTCTCTGTTTTTCCCAGTCCTGTCTCTCATTCAAAGGCGATGCTCCTTCACTCAAATGGTCATTAAACTTCCAGGAAAACAGCTTTGGGGGAGGGAAGGTGGCACCTTTCTCCGTTTGGTATGGAACCAGTTATCCCCTTAATGAGGCTTAGAAATGGAGGCTGCTCAGTACCTGGAACCAGGTGTCCTGTCTGAACAGAATAACTCCCTGCTGGGTTATGAGTGAAAGCGTGTCCCATCTTATAGGCCATATTCCCTGAAATGTGGGCCGTCAGGTGACCCAGAGAAGACCCGTTCTGCCAGATGCTCCAGTGCCATGCCATTATTTCTTAATTGCTGGCAAGTGCTGTCCCATTTTGTGCTGTGTAGAGGCCCATCAGAGGCTGTCGTTGAGTGGAGCCTGCTGTCGGTGACTGGCCTACCACTCGGGTCTGCTGTCCATTGCCAACCATTGTCCAACCCTCGGCAGGTGCTTCCATTGCAAAAAGTGTTGCACTCCAGCCAATGGGTTTGGTGGTGGGCACCCAAGGTCACATTGTCCTGTTCATCTCTGGAAAACTCAAGAACACTACAGAGACGAAGTGAGGATATTGGTAACTCACAAGCATCAGTTTGGAGCAGTTCATGACAGCAGTCCCTGTAGGTGGAGATAAATTTTATTAGCAAGGCTGTGGCTGGTGACAGCTCCCGAGGCAACGAACTTTCCTTCTTTCATTTGTGATTTGAAATTTCATTTAGTGTGGGAGTTCTTTAAGCTGTTGTTTAGATTTTTGGCTGAATTTAGATAGAAGAGGAAAATTAATGTTGTATGTTTAGAAAAGGATGTCAGGTCCTTTTTTTCTCCTTCCAACAAGTGCTGATGTAGCATCTTCAAGAAATTAAGGAGGATTTCTGCTATGTGATTCTTGTCAAACTCAAAGTAGCTCAACAGACTTAGGATCCAGATGGCACCTGGTCAGTATTCACATGATCATAGCAAGCTGGATGTCTTTTACAAATCTCTGCATTGCATTTATTCGGAAACAATGATGAGACATCAATCGATCATCCATGATGATTTGCTTAAAAAACATTTTATTTAGGACAACCCTAATCTATTTGGGTTTTAGAATTAGGCAAAAAGGACTTATGAGACTTTGCCTCTGTAAGATTAGTAAGGGTGCAAGGAACAGAGTGACTTGACACAGGGCCTTTTCTTTGTCATTTCATTTCTCTCTTCTAGAGGAAGAACAGGAAGTCCGCTGGTCGTTATTAGTCATCAGATTCCTTATAGAATTGCAAAAAGACATTTTTGACGTTGCTTTACATTTTTTTTCTGTTTCCTAAGGTCCTCTTACCTACCTTTTAGTGCGATTTTCTCTCTCTTCCCTTACAATATTATTTTTCTGCCTCTCTTGGCACTTCCTCTTCACCCAGAGATCTCCACCCATTAAAACTTGCTTTCAGGAAAGAACGTGGTATGTGTGTGTAAACTTATGTCACTGTTAGCATATTCTAAGTGATAGTTAATTCTATAATTGGATACCAGACAAAAAATATAAAGAATTTCAATCTCCTTGGCTTAATGGTGGTAGTATTCTAGGACCTAGAGGGGTGTAGAGAAGCTGCTTTCTCTCCATGTAGAACTGGTCCTGAGTTTATCATCATAATAATCCCAGACATTTGTGTCATATTTTATGGTTTTAAAAGTGCTTTGACATCCATGATCTCATTTAGTTCTCATTTGACCATCTGTGCAGTGTAGCATCCCAGTGTGACTTCTGACCAGGGGTCTAAGCTATATCTCAGACAGAACAGCTCCGGTGGGTACAACTCATAGTCCCTCGGCAGCCAGTGAGCTAAGAGACCTAACTGCCAACTGCCACCTTCTCTTTAAATAGATCCACAGCTGCTTGAACCAAACTGTGGTTCCTCAGAGTAGGCCTTATAAAAAGATCGATATTCTCCAAAGTGGATCTGTTTAATATGATTAGAATTCAGGGAGAGAAATATTCTCAGCCTAGCCATCTCTGAACATGGAAAGAATATGGTGCAGGATACTTTCTGCTTTGAGTGTAAATAAATTGAATCTCTTTCATGAAAGAATGGTGTATGACATCTTGGGAAAGTGTCGTTCCTGATGATTTAGCTATTACTGGATTTTTGCCCCCAGCAGACTGTCTTTGTCTCTCACCTGGAAGCCAAATCCTAATGGTCCAATAGAGATGCAAGTTCTTTGCGTGTTCTCACTCTAGCCACCTACACTTGGGCAGTAGCATTAAAGTATTTTCTCTGAGGTGACCCTCTTTGTTCCTCATGGCGGCTTCACCACAGTTGCGTGTGTAGTGAGAGATGGGACTGGGATTCATCTCTCCTGGTGTCCCAGGACAGCCTATTTTCATATTCCTTTTTCTCGACATGAGGAGTGGCCCAGCAGCAGAAATAGGGAAGCCCTCTCCTGCTAGACCCTCCTAAGCAGATCTGATTCTCCAGGTGAGAGGACTTACCTCTCTACTCCCATGTGGCAATGCTGGTAATTTCTACTGGAGCCATATTGCCCTCAAATGAAAAAGGACACATTGCCAGAGACAGAGAATTTAAGCTCCTGGGTCAATCTCCTCTCTTTGCTTTACCCACACAGAAGTCCCTGGTCCCAGCCTCAGGCACATCCCTCGTGGCTCCCTGCCTTGCAATTGAAGAAGATATAGGGTCCAAAAAAGGAGTCTGTGGAAGCCTGAGAAATGATGGAGACATGAGGGACCCTAGGCCTAAAAGCCTGGACTTCATACCCTGGGTGGCACCTGGGAATGTGAGAGATTCTCTTAAAAAGGTTTTCTTTATTATTTGAAAATGCACTGAAGGTTATGTGCTGTCTGTCTGGGGCTCGGACCACCCAAATCTCCTCTCACACTTAATGATTTAATTGTTCATTACTTAGATTTAATTTCTCCTCATTCTTCTCAGGCGATGTTAATGCAAATGAATTTTTCTTCACATAGAGTGATATATTGTTTTCTAAGATGCCAGCGAAGTAGAGGAGAAAGTGGCCTTCTTAACCCAGCGAAGAGTAGAGAGAGAAATGGGATGAAGGGCAGGACTAGTTGAGTATACAGTGTGGGGAAGGTCTCTGATACTCAGCTTGTCAGAAATGGCCATGTGCTACAGCCCACACATAGGACTATTTTAACTGTGCTCTCATCAGGAGGGATACAGTCATTTCTCCCAGGAGTGAACTCGGCTGGGTTAGGACTCATGAGATTGTCACAGAACTGGATTTCACAAGAAGGAATTTCACATGAGTAGTATTTTTGAAAGCAGGTGATGGAGCCATTGTATCGGCCCTTTGTTTCCACAAGGAGTCCTTCATCTCCTTCTAGTACATTGTCCTGAAAGTGAAGGGAAACTTTCCTCCCTGGGGCTCTTTGTGTTTGTTGATACGTGGAAAAAAATAGTAATTTCAGGGCCATAGCGTCTTGATATTAGTGGGAACCTAGAGGGTTCTCTCACTCAACATCTTATACAAAGCAAAAAGTCTTTCTATTGAGACTTGGAGAAATACTTACTGAGTTTTAGGGACAAAGACTGCATTTTTGGAGGCACCCTCCATTTATTTGACAAATTACATCCATGGAAAGCTCCTTTATAAAACAAGCCAAAAAAACTGCTTTCTTGTAATGTATACTCCAGTCTGGCCCCTGGAACAAAGCAAGACAAGCCTAATCATCTCTCTTCATCAAAGTAGCACCTAGGTATTCAGAGGTAACCCTACCATCTCCGTGAAGGCATGGACCTTCTTCAGGCCAAACACTGCTGGCTCTCCTAACTGTTTCTCAAAAGATGTTTTCCAGAACCCACACCTCTCTTTGTGCTTGCCATTTTTCTCTGGAAGTTATTCAGATTATTAGCTTCCTTTCTTAAATTCGACTGTTACAACTGGGTCAAGTACTCTGGACTTGCATGACCAGTTCACAACAGAATGAAACGTTCATTTTCCATGATCTGGAGACCATTTCTAACAAGCAAGCATTGGCTTTCTCTGTAATTTGTCACACAGTTGGCCTCTCTGTGGGTTTTAGTTACCCTCACATTAAAGGTTTTTTTGTTGTTGTTTTTCTTCTCGTATCTGCTGCCAAGTTAGGTCTTCTCATTTTGAATGTATATAAATTGATTTTTCTTAACCTAAATGCTGTACCTGACATTAAGGCTTTTTTGATCTTTTCTGGTTAGTTTTTGCCCGTTTTTCCAACTCCGAAGAACTTTTTGAATCTTGATTCTTTTATCCAGTGTATCATCTATGATTCTCTGCTTCACGCCACTTAGAAATTCTTGAACGAGCTTGCCTCTGGGCCCTTATCTCAGCACCTGACGTAACCATTGAACAGGATCAATTCATCTGCAAGAGACTGCAACATGTCTACATTGTGATTTGCATGACTAATTAGGGCACTGCTCCTCTCAAAGTGTGGTCCCCAGTTCAGCAGCTAAGCATCACCTTGAACTTGTTAGAAATGCAAATTGTCCAGCCTTATCCCATACCCACTGAATGAGAAACTGGGGGAGGAGCCAGCAATGTGTTCTTTCCAACCCTTTAGGTGATTCTGATGCCCGCTCAAGTTTGGTAGCCACTGAACTGGAGTACTGGGAAGGAAGATAAAAAAGAAATCTAAAGTACATAGGCATCCGACAGTCTTAGAGTCTGTTTGAGGAGCCAACTTATGAACAATCTAACCAGACATCCTGGTAGCATGGGCTGATGCATCTGTCACAAATTTCCCTCTGGACTCTATTTGGCTAAAGGACAGACTGGAGGGGAGGACTTGGGCTTGGTAGGTGCAGAAGCAATGTTCCAGAGAGACTGAATGAAGTCTGATGAAGAGAAGAATTGAGTATACACCAAACACCAGACCCAGGCAAGGGAAAGAAAAGGCGAGTCTGGATGACCCTGAGCGATTGGGCAATGCTGCATTTCCCGGAGAAGATTTTCAACAATTGAACATTTAACAAAATAAGGTCTCATACCTGTTTTTCTTTCCACAGGCCCATCTGCTAAACATCCCGAGTTGGAATTGGAAAGAGGGTGATGATGCAATCTGCCTCGCGGAGCTGAAGCTGGGGTTCATCGCCCAGAGCTGCCTGGCTCAGGGCCTCTCCACCATGCTCGCCAACCTCTTCTCCATGAGGTCATTCATAAAGGTAACGTCTTGTCCTATTAGAGCACATTAGCCCCGGATTCAATTTGTCATGGGGTTGAGTAGAGAGCACAGCTTAAACTCAAAACAGATCGACGGGCTTTGACCACTTTGGTTAAGGAGAAATTCCTTGTTACAGATTTGGGCAAGAGGCCAACTTCTTTCAAAATTATGTTTTTATTTTTATTTGGCACATCCACGGCCATTAAATGATTGTTCAAAGCACAATCCTCTCTTTTTTTAGATAAACCACATGTTTATCTATCAACAAAGCCTCCGCTGTTAAAACAAAAATATGATTTATATACATTCCATATGGCACCAGAGCGCCTAAAGAAAAGAATTACCATTTTGCTCTTTTACATCAAGTGGCTGGTGGACCTCTCACTGTGTGGATAAATGCAGACCATGTGTTTGTGCTGAAGCCCAAACCCCAACAACATAATTCATTTATTTATTTCTGTACAATCAAGGAGGCCAGCGGGGCTGACATGCCACGGTTATTTGAATGGAGAGTGAAACGATGAACTGAGTCCTCGGCAGCGGAGCCCTTTATACCATGAGACAGGCGGTCTGGATATGCTCATCTCCTTGTCAGCCGGTTCACCCCACGGAGCTGACTGGGCCGCCACTCTAAAGTGGCCTCTCCCTGCTCCACCAGCTCAGACAAAGAAAGAGCCACCTCTTTCCACAGAGGCCAGGACAGGCATGTTCCAGGACATTGGGCTGAGGGTCCAGGCTCCTATTAAGAGGGCTCTTGTTGTGCAGGATGATGATAATACCCGTCCTTATCCTTGGATTCTTCTCAGCTTAGGTGGTCTAGATGGCAAACCAGTGCAGTAAAACCTATCTAGTTTGGGTCTTTCTGATTTGGTGTTGGTGGCCATTAGCTGAGAATCTGGGCTTACATTCCCTTCCCTTTCATTCATTTATTCACATTCCCCTTCCTGAATTAGAGGTTGAGGTGGGAAAATAGTGAGTCACCAGGATCTTTTATTCATTTATTCACATTCCCCTTCCTGAATTAGTAGAGGTTGAGGTGGGAAAATAGTGAGTCACCAGGAGGTCCTGCAGAAAGGAACAGAGGCTCTGAAATCAAAGATCTCCATCGTTTTGCTGTCATTGTTGCCATATCCACCACCAGCAGTCAGGTCTTTGGTGGAGCTGAGGAAATGGCACTGGATGCAGTGAGAGGGATGGGGTGGGGGAAGATGGGGATGCAGATGATGGACTAACTCATCCTGGGCCTCCACAAGTTGTGTGACTGAGAGCAGGTTATTTTTCTAGGTCTTTACCTACTGTACCCACCTACTTTACATTATTTAGCCAATTTATACTTAATATTATGTAAAAGAACAAATTGTTTTGGAGCCCCTTCAATAACTTTAGCAATGGATGCTTTGATTGAAAAAAATTTTCATAGTCACTGTGTGCCCAAAGACCTCAGCTTCACTGAACTCCTGGCTCAGACCCAGCTCACATATAAGGACATTGCATTCCTCCTAGTGGCTTCTTTAATCCAGGCTGCTATTCCCCTGCCTGGATGAAACCAAGTGCAGGCAAAATGGAGGTGGCAGGGAGGTCCGTGTGGCTGGACTTAGAGACACACCCAAAAGCCAAATGTAGGCTTGTGTCTCCCAAGGCTCTTATATTCAACATGAGGGGCCCAGACCGAGGATAAAGGACTGTCATCAAGTGGGCTCCTCTGGCTCATTCAGCTGAGCCCTATGGTTTGTTCCAGCAAGGAACTGCCTGCAGGACAGGCACACGGTCTGAGGACTTGGGCTCAGCTTCCTCGTATTGATGTGACATGGCCTTGGCAGGGCCCTACTGCACACAGGGCACTTGACATGCGTATGTTTTGATTTTGTGGTGCCTGTTTGGAAACCAGAGCTGCCTGTCAGGAAAATTAATAAAATGGATGTGACACTGATTCTTCAGTGTTATTACCAGCAGGGATTCTTCAGTGTTATTACCAACTTCCCTCAAGACCTTGAAGGGCCTTACCTCTGCAGCCAAGGATGTCCCTTCCAGCCCAACTAACCCCACTGCTAACTTCCTATTTAGGAAGAACGTGTGGGAGAGCCATGGCCGGTCCTGGTGTAACTGAAAACACATTTCTCTCTTGGGGTTATGTTACTGTGTTATTTCTGTCTGGGGCCAGCTCCTCCATGTTTGGAGATAGCTCTCTGCCTATGGCCTTATGACATTCAGGTGGTCTTTTGTGTTGGAATTCTGTAGTGTCGTCTCTGTGCGCTTACCCTCCAAATTTATTTGGGGGGTAGATGGAAAAGGAACTCTATAAACGGATTATTGTTTACAGACATTGCTTCCTTCCCCAGGGTCTCCCATGTCCTATGGCAGAGAAATCATCAGCACTTCCATGGGGACAGGCAGGCCTATTAGGATGGAAGGAGAGGGGAAGAGGCTTTGGCAGCATTTGATCCCTTGAGAAGATTTAGCATTTCTGGAAGCCAAAGTTGGAGTGTGAGCTCACCCTGCCCCTTGCCCTGGGCAGGTACAGTGTCTGATTCTTGGTTTGGCAGAATACACCGTATTCTGTCCCTACTGAGAGAAGAAAAAAGGGGAACAAGACTGAAACAGTGATGACATATCATAGGCAGAAGAAATGACTATTTACCGGGCTTTTAGAGCCAAGACCGAAAGTGAGGGTGAGAAAGCTTAACAAACGAGAGACGGACTGCTGGTGCGTAGCAGTTACAAAAGACGCCCGGCTCGCAGGTACCAGGAAAGATGGGGGAGCTCTTGCTCGTCCCCTCCACAACGTCATTTTCAAAAATCTTCACCTGAGGGCCCCGAGTCATTGCCCCAGAAAGCCTAGCTCCTGTATTGGATATGTTATCTTTGAATTGCTCTAAAATTTTGGGAATCTATATTTTTAACCCACATCTTTGGAGGTAATTAATTTTTTAAGTTTTCTAACTACTGTTGAAGACTTTTTTTTCTGGCTATTTGCGCTTAGTTTTTTTCACTTAACCTTCAAGTGCTCTATAGGGTGTGTGCCAGTCTGCTGGGATTTGTTTAACAAATCCATGCTAACTTTCTAGCCAATACCTTTATGAAAAAGGCTCAGGTGGCTACTCAGGGATCCTTTGGCCCAGTGGCTTATTGCTAATAACAGGTTAAGCATTTTGTCCAGCAGCACCCAGTTCTGCCCTTGACTTCCTTTCAGGAGTGAAGGCAAATGTTCTGGATCCTGTAACTTATCAACATCGGCATTATCAACCAGGCCTGGAACATGCTGTTCATCTACCACTATCTGAATTCCTACCACTCGTCTGTCAGGTTCAAGTGAGAATCTTTCTAATATCTTCTGTAAAGACCAAGACAAGGAACTTATTTAGCCTATTTGTCATTGCCTCATCCGTGAATAAGTGGCCACAGTTATCCTCTACTTGGTTTCCTAGCTTGGATGTAACTTAAGATCTTTTTTTTTTTTTGGTTTGGTTTTAGAATCTTACCATGTAATACTTAACTTTCTCCCCAACATGTCTAATTTCAAGTTGGGGCTTGACCTGCTGTTTTTGTGAATTGTGCTATTATTCTTACTAGGATTACCTGTCCTTGGACATGATAAATTGTGTTTGTGAGTGTTGTATGTGTTTAGAGTGTGATTAATTCTTAAAATTTCTTTTCAGTCTACACTAAGTCTTCAAAATGAGCACATTTAAATCCTCACTATTGCCAACTATTTTACCTTTGCTCATCTACCATTTTATACACATATACACACAGCCTGGAAAATGGCATGCATTCCATAATTATTTCTTGGTCGAATAAATCAGTTATGAAAATGGAGAAAATATGCGATGTACTTTTAAATTTTTTTCCCTATTTTATAAGATTTGTAATTGTGGGTGAGATATTACTTAATATTGGTCACCACAGTGTCTCCTCAAGTGCATTTTCTACTTGTGAATAAAGAAGTACTGGAGACAGCAGGCCCATGTTATTCCGATTGTATCTTGGCTGAGGTGGACTTTACTGAACATAAAAACCATTTGTTCAGTATTATTACCATGATGAGATAAACTTTCAACAATACATTATCTTAACAATAATTGTAGCCAAGGGAATCATTTTTAATACCTTGATTTTGGGTTATGTTTATGTGCATATGTATTTGTATATATGCGTGTATAAAAAACATGGTTTAGGAGCTATTAGAATCTTTAATAATAGCTGAAATATACTAGGCCCTAACTAACTATGTGCCAAGCTCTATGCTAAGTGCCCTATATGCATTATCTCGTTTAATTCTTGCAATGACCCTACTCAAACTTGGTACTATTATTAACCTCACTTTACAGTGGCAGACACTGTGGGTTGAGAGAATTTCAGCAACCTGCGTGAGGACATAAAATTGGAATGATAAACTCAGTTGTTTGAACCCAAGCAAATTGGTTCCACATTCATCATTGGGTAAACCAAGAGGAAATATGATCAATGATAAGAGGGAACCTTAGCTGGTGCCGTCATCTTAGCACAAATCTTAACTTTCTGTAGTTTATGTTATGGAAAGTACTGAATCAATAGAGATTCTCTGGGCATTTACCATATTCTAGGCAGTGTGCTAATCAGCCTGTCATCCTTATGGCCAGGAGGCACTGATAAGTTTCAGGAAGTTTCTCTTTGGATTGGGGTACATGGGCACATGTTTGCACAGCCCCATCCTGTGGGTTTTGCCCCATCCTGTAGGTGGGGGAATTAGTTAGACTTCCAAGAATGAATTGACATCACACTGTTGTATTTGGGGGTGGAGGGGGTAAAGTTAATTGCCTTAGGTAGGTGCTTGTGGGAGACAACAAGCAATTTTTATTGGCTGGTGAGTATAAGCTCTGCAGACCAGAGGTGTTCATCCAGGTGGAGGAAGCGAACTAGAAGCAGGTCTCAACTCTGTGTAGAGTGGAAGAGGTGAGTGACAGGATTTATGGCCAGGGCTCAAATTGATAAGGCTGATATCAAGGTGGCTTTCTACTTCCA